TGCTAAGACTTGTTTTCTGTCTTATTTTATAGTCTCTCTTGGAGAATATTCTCTGTAGGCTTAAGAAGAATGTGTATTCTGCGTCTGTTGGATGGAACGTTCTAAAAATGTCTGTTAGGTCCATTTGGTCTAATATATGGTTCAAGTCCAACTTTTCTGTGTTGATTTTCTGTCCAGGTAATCCATCAATCGCCAAAAGTGGGGAATTGAAGTCTCCTGCTGTTACTGTTGTGTTTGTCTATTTCTCCCTTCAGATCTGTTAGTCTTTGCTTAATATATTTCGGTGCTCTGATGTTGAGTGTGTATATATTAGATCGTTTTATCTTCTTGATGAGTTGACCTTTTTATCATTATATAATGACTTTGTCTTTTGTTGCTGTCTTTGGTTTACAGCCTATTTTGTGTGCTATAAGTATATAGCCACTCCCACTCTTTTGGTTTCCACTGGTGTGGAACATCTTCCATCTCTTCACTTTGAGCCTATGCGTGTCCTTAAGGCTCCTGTGAGTCTCTTACAGGCAGCATATAGTTGTATCTTGTTTACCCATCTAACCACTCTGTGTCTTTGATTAGTGAATTCAATCCATTTACACTTACAGTGATTATTCATATGTAAGGACTTACTACTGCCGTCTTATTGATTGTTTTCTGGTTGTTTTATATCTCCATTGTTTCTTTTCCCCTCAGTTTGTGCCATTCTCTGTAAGTTGGGGATTTTCTGTGGTGGTGTGCCCTGTTTCCCTCTTAAAAAAAACTCTGTTGTGAATCTACCTTAGATGTTGGCTTTGTGGTTACCCAGAGGCTTACATAAAACATTTCACAGAAAGAACAGTCCATTTTAGGCTGATAGCAACTTATCTTCATTCGCTTATAAAGGTTCTGCCCTTTTACTCCTCCCTTTTATATTTTATCTCATAATTTACCTCTTTTCTACTACACGTTTGTTAACAGATTATAGTAATTAGTTATTTTTGATACTCTCCTCCTTTAACCTTTATACTATGGTTAAGTGGTTAATATTCCATCCTATTGTAGAATAAGAGTTTTAAAAATCTGACTACATATTTTTCACCTTTACCAGTGTGTTGTATGCTTTCATATGTTTTCGTGTTGCTGATGAACATCTTCTCATTTCAGCTTGAAGAATTGTCAGCATTTCTCGCAAGGCAAGATTAGTGGTGATGAACTCCCTCAGCTTTTGTCTGCCTGGGGAAGTCTCTATTTCTCCTTCATATCTGAAAGATAACTTTGCTGGGTGGAGTATTATTGGCTGGCCATTTTTATCTTTCAACATTTCATATGTCATTGTGCTGTCTCTTGGCCTGTAGAGTTTCTGCTGAGAAATCTGCTGATAGCCTAATGGAGGGTCCTTTGAAGGTTACACTTTTCTTTTCTTTTCTTTTCTTTTTTTCCGCCTCTGGCAGCTTTTAGGATTCTTTCCTTATCTTTGATTTTTGACAGTTTCATTATAATGTTATCTGCGAGAAGGTCTTTTTCCATTGAGGTAATAGGGTGATCTATTAGCTTCGTGAACTTGGATGTCCAAGTCCACATGGATAAGCTAAGCTATTATTTCTTTAAATAAAGTTTCTGCCCTCTTCTTCCTCTCTGCTCCTTCTGGAATCCAGATTATTCTGCATGGTTTGCAGAGCTCATTCTTGAGGACTATATGGCTATGCAAAATGACAAGCTAAAAAAGTAGACGTCGGCTTTGAGCATATCTTCAGGATTAGCCTGAGATGGGTTAGAGATGCTGTGGTCTTGGAAGCCGGCGGAACTGCCTTTGATATGTAATTGTTTGTGTTTGTGTAAGAGCCTCTTCCTCCATGAGTCTCAGATTTTTCTTATTTTAAATGGGAATAACTTATACCTCACTAAGCCTAACTTCTTGGAGTTTCATAGGTGCCAGAGACCATGGTGTTCTGCATGCCTTACATATTTTAATTTTTAGACTTAGACTAGGAGGCAGGTGTGTGATTATACCTTCTTACCAATGAAGAAATTGAGGTAGAGGCCACATGATGTGTAAAAATAGTAAAGGGAGAACTTAGATATCTTTTGCTCCAGGTTCCTCAGCTTTAATCTTGTTATCATAATTGTTCTGTAATGCTTTTTTAAAATGAGACTGGGCGTCCATGTGCTTGGCACATTGTGGGTTCTCATACAGCGAAGGTTCCTTTTCTCTCCCAAACCCCTAAACAGGGCAAATTTATTTGCCACACAAGTTCAAGCATGGGATGAAGAAGGAACGGATGTGAAGCAAGAACGCAGGAGGGTAAAGTTTCAGGCTGCAGCCATAAGATTATATTCGCGCCTGTAATCACAGTGATTGTAGCTCAGATGTTTTCTAGGTAGTGATGAAGGTGATCACTGAGGAGAAAGCACAGTGAGTTCTACCAGGAGCCTCTAAACCCCCTCTGGCTGTTCAAAGAGATCCTATGATCCTAATCTCCATCGCACTCTTCTGTGCACAGTAATGAGCTTTTCCCCAGGTCAAACATGGCTTATAGTCACCCATAGCCACACAGAGAAGCCATGGTCCAGTGGGCGGGGCCCTTGGGAAATGTGCCTTTCTGCTTTTCACCCAGGAATCAGCAACCTGCCACAGCTGAGTCCCTATGATGTGAGTAAATTTGAATATACTACTCTAGCAACTCTCGAAGTGCCCTGAGTGGGAGTAAATATTTCCTCTATCCTTCAAGTTCAGAAACTTAGGCTCAAAGATGCGAAATCAATTTCTGTAGACCAAGACTGAATGCATTGTGGGCCCATGAATGACCTCATATATGTCTAACTCTAAAGCTCATAATTTTTCCTACTATCCTCCTCAGCTGAAGTGACCCACCTCTGTCCACTCACCTTCCTGTGTGAGTTCAGGACTTCTATCTACAATAATTGCCATGGGTGTAAAAGAAAATGATGTCCTGCTATTGTGATGACCCACTCCTCAAATCTCCTCTTCTGGATAATGACATACATCATAGACATGTCTCTTAAAAGAAGTAGAAGTCAGTCTCCTGGAGAAGATATAGGATAAATGAAGTTGAGATTTCAGTAACATCCAAAAATCTTCTAGGACCTCAAGAACCCCCTTACCTATTCAACAACTATTGATACGGAATCTAGTTAGGGAATGATAGGAGAAAGAGAAATAGAAAAAGGTTCATTTCCTTGAATAAAATTTTAAAGTCTAGTAGGGGAGAAGACATATAGATGTGACATTATGACAAATTCTGGATAAGCCATAGTAATGGAGAACAAGAGGGAGCGGTAGTTCTGTTTTGAGTGGAGCAGTGTGGTTCTCAACGTCCTCTGGAGGAGAATAAAGACTTTTCCAAGCAGGGGTAAGTGGATAGGGAAGAGTATGTACAAAAACTCGAATCCAGAATCAATCCAGTGAGTTTAAATCAACCACGATTAAGTGTGTGTGGCAGAAGTGCAGGATGTCTTGTGGGAATGTGTATAGGAGAAAAAACTGGAAATGTCATCTAGGGTCTGAACATGAAGAGCAATGAGGGCTGGACTGAAATGTTGGCTAGGATGCTGTGGACAGTGATGCTGGGGGGGATGTTTAATGATTAGATTTGTGCTTCAGAAAAATGACCGGTTATTAATGTAGAGGATGGATGGATTTGTGTGTGAGAAGAGTGCAGAGCAATCAATGGGAAGGCTACTGCAATAATCCCAGGACAGGTCTTGAGGGATGAATCTTTACAGTAGCAGTGGAGATAGAAGTCATGGCACATATTAAAGGTAGTAGGTGCACATGGACCCATTAGTAACTGGATGTGGGAGCAAGTGAAGGAAAAGGATTTTGCGATGGCACACATGGACTTTTGTTTATAGTGGATATATCCCTGCCACCAATGTTTTCTCCCACTTTGAAGTCTCTACACTAAACCTGTGGCCTCTTAAGAGGTCAGAGATAAAGTTGACCCCACAAGACATAAGATAAGCTCATATTTTAGAATCAGAAGGATAGCAGCATGACAAGGGTGAGGGGGAAGACATTCAGTCTAATCCTACCATTTCATAAGTGGGCAAATTGAAACTGACAAAGACAACCACGGCCACTAGAGGTGTCCGGAAAGGGAAGGCAACTGCATTTCCTATTTTTCCTGTCCAAGTATCAAGGAAGTGGGCATGGATGGATGACTGTGATGCTCCTGGTCATGTTCTTTCATGGGTGCAGGCAGAGCTCTTAAGGGGAAAGTCCTATGTCTTAAGATGAGTGCCTATCCCAGTATTCAGTGCACACTATAGAGATCTTGATCTTCCATCTTATCTAAGTTGGAATCTATGATTGAGGATTTCCAGGGAGAGGAGAAAATGGGATAAAATGAAGGAGTAGTGACAGAATGCTCTCAGTAGTCAATTACATCTCTTCCAATTCTAATGCTCACACATCGTTTCTTCTTTGAAGTGAGGTCATAATACCTACATTCTGAGGTTGTTATAGGAAATCTAATAAGAAAATGAGTATCTAAGCCCTCTGTAGGAATGCTTTTGTATTGGTAACCACTTCAAAAACACATAGGAAATGTCTTTAATCTGTAAGAATAGGCCTTCGATCATTTCATATTATAGACCAGTGGCCCTCAAAGTGTGGTCCCTGGTTTAGAAACATTGGCATCACCTGGAACTTGTAAGCTATGCAAATCCTCAGACCCTACCACAGCACGAGAAACTGGAGATGAGGCCCAGATATCTGTGTTTTAACAGTCCCTACAGATGTTTCTGATGCGAATGGAAGTTTGAGAAATCATTCCTTAGGCAGATTGTGAGCCTGTGGGCTGGAAACTGTCTTCAAGGATGCTGCTGTCTCTGTCCATCTGTCCTTAATGGGTGTTTTGGACTAACCTTCACTTGTGCCTGGGCTCAGTCTTATTTGCATCTCTATCCTGGAATTGCTGATGCTATGGAGAGGGGATGCCCATCCAAACGTTGTTGAGTGGAGAGACAGTGGGAAGGACGGTGTAGCGAGAAGACTGACACCAAAATAAGGCCCTTTTGCTTTAATAAACCAGGGATCCTAGGTCACTGTTAACCAGAAGTAGTTGCTACCAAAGTTGTTGCTACCGAAGTTGCTGCTACTGAAGTTGCTGCTTCTGATGCTCCTGATGCTCCTGATGCTACTGATGCTTCTGCTGCTTCTGATCCTTGTGTGACTCCTGTAACTGGTGCTCTTGTAGGCTTTGCAGTTCCACCACAGATCGCAGGATGAAGCTCTTGGCCAGACAGAACACAGCACGTTTTTTCTTTGCTGCACATGCCAGTAGGAGGATCTATCGGCACCTCTCCCTTTCTGCAGCTGCTCCTGCACTTTCCAATTTTGTTTCCACACTTTCTCACATACCAGTTACCTGCATAAAGGAATTATATAGATCATTGAATCCACAAAAAGATACAAATAACAACAGTTTTTTGAACACTGGTTGTTCAAGTCCTTTACTGGCTGCTTTGTGATATTTTTTCTAATCCTGAAAATCTGCTCTGGGGATTAAATGAGATTTTATAAATATATACATACATAGAATTTTTTATATATGCGTGAGCCTCCTATTTCTGAAATCAAAAGTCTGCGTATAAACACTCACCAGGTGTCTATTTCCCATTATTTTAAATGGGAAAATATGTAACACATTATTACTCATGAATGCAAAACCCCTAATCAATTTCATAAAAATGTAACTGGAACACACAAACACCTAAATAGAAGTAAAAAACTATTATTTGAAAATACAAAATGCTCAAATCACTGCTATAATGCTTTGCACTGTTACCCAAACCCATGTGGCTTTTCTTGATGCTTGGTGAGATTTGTATACCATCTTTACATGTTTCTGTGGTCCTACAAATCATACTTGAAATGTAACTCTAGGTTTGTCTTATATATTGTCTTGTGAAATATAAATATAAAATTTTCATACATATCTCTATATAGCTATCTATCTATATATAATATTGAGATATAAATATATTCAGCAAAATTTTGGGAATAAAAAACCAGAAGCTATTCTACTAGAAATATATTCAGTAAGGAGACATTCTTCAGGGTGTGCCTGCATATGTGTACCTCTTACATACACATATAAAAATTCTCTCATCACATGATATGACACATGGAAGGCCATGAAGAGATGGTGGAGCTCTTTCTTACCTTGCTCTATATTGCTTAACATTCCACTATTCAACCAACAAATATATAATGAACGCCTACTATGTCAAGAACTCTGCAAGATGATGGGAATAAAACAATGAATAGGAAGACAAGGTCGGAGAAGCTTACATTGGAGAGGTGGAGAAAAAATAAACAAGTAATGAATAAACAAAATAACTACAGATGATGATAAGTGCAACAAATGAAAAAAATAATGTATTGTAATAGAGTAAGCAAATAGAACAATCATTTTTTGAGTGCTGACTACTACCACTACCATTACCCCTTATCACCTGTTCAATCCTCCTCTGAAGAGTAAATGATATTTTACATACATAATATTTATGTACCCACGTAGATTTATAAATAGATGTATGGGCTTCTCACTCCTAAAATCGGAATTCTACATGGAGTCATTGAGGAAAGTATTCCTCAGGAAATGGCGTTCAAGCTTAGATGTAAAGGATGAAAAGGATGCAGCTTTGTAAAGATCTAGAGGGAGGGCGTACAAAGAAGGAGGAATAGCATATGCGAGAGCCACGAGCAGGAGAAGAACCTGATATTTCTGAAGAACAGAAAGATTGCTTGACTTCTGCTGTTTTCGTGATTTTTCTTACTCTGTCTCCTTTTTTTATTGTTTCGTATCTGCAAGGGCTCTCCATAATGGTCCTGGGCCTTAAACTTCCCCTCCAGCCACTCCCTCCACGATTTTCTTCTTTCTCACTATGCCAAACATCTCCGTGGAGATAATGTTCAAATATTTTTCTTCAGCTGGCATAGGTAGATGAAAACCTCAGATCGAGTTTCCTTCCTTTCCATGCTGGCCTTCCTTGGGCCCTGGCGTTTCATTAATTCTTCCTTTCAAAGGGCTGCATTTCTAACGCCTCTGGAGTTTGGATTAGACTTGGATAATCTTACAGAATAATCCTAAATTTCTTGTGTTTATCTAGAAAGGGAACTGAGGAGTTTTTCCAGGGCCTTTTGCTTTAGAAAGGGGACACCATGTGAGTATGTGAGGCATGTCACCAATGTCCCAGAGACAGAGGGAGAAATCATGCAATCTAAACTCATAGAATTTCAAGGATACTGTAGATGGAAACATTGTCTGAGGCAACCATCATACCATCATTAATTTCCTCTTATCCACCATCAATTTGAACAGTTCTGCAAATTCTAGAGAAGGTAAAATACTATCTCCAGAGGCAGGCTGCAGAGTGATTCAGTACACAACTCTCTACCTGTCAGGAAATTCCACCTCAAAAAAGTTGGCTTCTCACTTTGTGCCATATGTAAAATATGGGATGGAGTGTAATGTAAAAAATAGAATTAAAAAAAAAACCTGGTAAGCATGGGAAGATAAACTTTTCTCAAGATGGAGAAGAACTTTCTAAGCTAATGGAAGAATGCAAAGGAAATACATGAAAATTTTGTGCCTCAAATAAATCAATACAATTTTTAGAAATAACCAATATATTTGGCTATATTTTCAAGAAATGTGAAATAGAAAGGCTAGAAATACCAATACACTAATAGTAACACCTGGTAATATGTTAGTTTCCTTAAAGTATACCCTTTGACCAAGCAATGAAACTCCTAAAATTTGCCTATATTATAAGAGAATCTCACAATGATATATTAATAAGGTTGCATAATGTTATTTATAATAGTAACACATTGGAAAAAATAATCCAAACGACACAGTAAGGGACTGTCCAAATTAATATTGGCACAGAAATATGATAGAATAATAAGCATCTATTGCAAATTGTATTTTCAAGGAATATTTAAAGATCTGTGAAAATTTTCCTGATACAATTTTAAGTTAAAAAACGGCAGGTTATAAATTTGTACATTAGTTGGTCGCAATTTTAAAAACTTAAGCAGTGAGGAAATGGTGGCCAATTTCTTTTTTTCTAAAGCACTTTCAGTGTTCCTCCCTTAATTTTGTAAATATAAACTATAGAATTAATTAAAAAGAAGGAAAGCTTACACAAATAGAGCTGAAATCTGACATAGGACTTCTAATAGTCTTGAATCTTTCCCCCATGTAGAGTATTTTTCTTCCCTTTTCCACCTTACAGTCTTATAGATATTTAGAAATAGCCTTCTCTGTCTTAGTTAATCACATCCAAGCACAAAAGAATGAGAGACCTTCTCTGTAAGATCAAGAAAACTGGGAGAAGTGATATTATTGAATTATTACTTCAGGAGGTAATAACTGGTGCCACACAAAGAGAAGTGAGGCAGGGCTGGACTGGGCTAGCCCGAAGTGATGGAACAGAGGGAAGTTTGGAATGTCAGGACCATCTCTGCCTTTGGAGGCAACTTTATAGGATTCTCATTACCTTCTTCCACCTCTAATCATAGGTACTGTTCTGTTGTGAGAGACTTGAGGTCTCTTATCACAGAGGTTCTCTGAAGAAGCAGGGACCCTCAGCCTGTCTCCCAGTGACAGCCCTGTCCCACTCCCATGGATGTTTGCTAATAGGGACTTCATGTGCAGGACCTTGTGCAAGGCCAATGTTTCTTCTTCCCCAAGATTCTGATTACCTGAGATCAACTGGGCCTGGAGCATGAAGAGGGCAAGGGTGAGCAATAGGGACTTCATGGCTTCGAAAGATAGTAGGTGGTGGAGTCTACGGAGTCCAGAATTCTCTTTTCAGTGTGACTCTGAACACAGGTCTTTATGGGCCTCCTAGGTTGGGTTGGGCTCAGCCAGTGGACCAGAAGGAGATAGGATACTGTGCCAAACACAACTTCAGTCCATTGGCCAGCAGCTCTAATTGAGGCATCACTATTCAAGAACCCTGTTCTAGGCATGCCTTGGGCGAAAGAGAAAGACTTGGAAGAAAGGTGAAGTCCTGCTTAAGTGTATGGTAATTTGGAGAGAAAGACACTTACAAGAAGAATTTATGCTGCTCTTCCAAGGCTGGGTACCCCTATTTTTTCATAGTCTCCTGTGTTGGTTTTATCAGACTATTTATCTTACTGCATTGTGACAGTCTTTTCAGCTGTCTCTCTCTCTAAAATACAATGTGTTTTTGAACACTGACTACATATTATTCTTTTTTGTATATTAGTTCTGGGCATAGAGAAGCACCTAAGCAATTGTTTGTTGAATGAAAAAGTTAATAATTTGTTGATAATCTGGCAGTTTAGAAAGTATGTCTTTAAAGAAATCAGTCAGTGATCAAAGATATACGTACAAAGGTATATGTCTTTAAGCCCCCATTTAAGTCCGGCAACAGAGCGTCATGAAATGAGGCGCATTCCTATGATTTAATGCTGTGCATCTGTTAACAAAAGTGCGGCAGGTTTTGTTTTTCTAAACATATTTCTGAGTGAAAAAGCAATATTGTAAGAACAATATGTATAGTGATGATTCTAATTTATGTGAAAAATTTATGCGTGTTATATGTAAGTAAATCTTTCTCTCTCAAAATGTTCATCACGTCTCTCTGACATCCACTCGTTCTTCTCCCCTCAACTCCGTGATACCCAGGCAAGCCTGATCTGCCATTTGTCTCTGTAGTTTTGTTTGCATCTTCTAGAATATAATGCGAATGAAGTCATATAGTATGTATCCTTTTTTACCTGGCTTCTTTCATCCAGGGTAATTATTTTGAGTTTTATGCATGTTGTCGTGTGTATCAACAGTTCGTTTCTTTTCATTGCTAATATTCCTTTTTATAGATATATACCAATTTATTTATCCAATTACCTCTTAATGGACATTTCAATTGTTTCCAGATACTAGTATTGGAAAGAAAGTTGCTACTGATCATTTGTGTGCAAGTCTTTGAATGGACAAATGCTTTCATTTCTTTTTGGTAAATACCTAGGCGTGGAATGACTGAGTCACAAGGTAGATGCATGTTTTACTTATTAAGAAACTACCAAATTGTGTTCCAAATAGCTGTACCATTTTATATTCCCACCAGCAACATATGAGCACTCATTTTTCTCCATATCTTTACCAACACTTAGCATATTCAGTTTCTCTTATCTTTTTTTCAGTTTTAGCCATTTAATGAGTGTGAGTGGTATTTCATTGTGATTTTTATATGCATTTTTCTAGTGATAAAAAATATTGATTGTCTTTTCATGTAATATTTACCCTTCACATATCTTCGTTGGCGAAGTGTCTGTTTATATTTTTCCCTATATTTTGATTAGGTTTTCATTCTCATTATTTTTAAATTCTAAGTTTCCTTTATATATTCTAGACACAAGAGCTTTGCAGCTATTTCCTCCCAATGTGTGGCTTGTCCTTTCATAATAGTATATTTTAGTGATTATTTTTTATTTTGAAGAAATATAATTTATTAATTTGTTATTTTATAATTGGAGCCTTTTTGTGTTATTGTTAGGAAATTGTTGCTAAGTCCAAGATCACATACATTTATCTACGTTTTCAGAAGAAAACTTATAGAAAGAAGATTTATCTCTTTAACTTAAATCAATGTTCAGTTTTTTAGTTAATTTTTAAAGATTTTATTTATTTATTTTTTAAAGATCTTATTTTTTTCCTTTTTCTCCCCAAAGCCCCCTGGTACATAGTTGTATATTTTTCATTGTGGGTCCTTCTAGTTGTGGCATGTGGGATGCCGCCTCAGCATGGCCTGATGAGCGGCGCTATGTCGGCGCTCAGGTTCTGAACCGGCAAAACCCTGGGCTGCTGCAGTGGAGCACACCTAACTTAACCACTCCGCCGTGGGGCTGGTCCCTTGAGTTAATTTTTAAACGGTGTGAAGTAAGGGGGCCGGCCAGGTGGCGCAGTGGTTAAGTGCATACTGCATTTTCTTTGTCCGTTTGTCTGTTGATGGACATTTAGGTTGCCTCCACATCTTAGCTATTGTGACTAGTGCTGCAACAAACATAGAAATGCTAACCTATCTTCGAGATCCTGATTTCAGTTCTTTTAAATAAATACCAAGAAGTGGGATTGCTGGAACATATGATAGTTCTCTTTCTATTTTTATGAGGAACATTTGTACTGTTTTCCATAGTGGCTGCATCATTTTGTATTCCCATCAACAGAGTGCAGGAGTTCTAATTTCTGCACATCCTCGCCAACACTTGTCCTTTTTTTTTTGACAGTAGCCATCCTGACAGGTTTAAGATGATGTGTCACTTTGCTTTTGATTTGCATTCCCTTGATGATTAGTGACATTGAGCATTTTTTCATATACCTGTTGGCTGTTGTATGTATTCTTTGGAGAAATGTCTATTCAAGTTCTTAGCACATTTTAAAATCGAGTCCGTTCTTTTGCTGTTGAGTTGTAGCAGTCCCTCATTTATTTGGAGATTGACTCTTTATTAGGTAGCTGGTTTGCAAATATTTTCTCCCATTCCATAGGTTGCATTTTCACTCTGTTGATTGTTTCCTTTGCTGTGCAGAAGCTTTTTAGTTTGACGTAGTCCAACCTTTCTACTTTTGCTTTTGTTACCTGTATTGTTGGTGTCATATCCATGAAATCATTGCCAAGACCAATGTCTTGAAGAGTTTCTCCATGTTTTCGACCAGGAGTTTTAGAGTTTAGGAGTTTCTGGTCTTATGTTTAAGTTTTTAATCCATTTTGAACTGGTTTTGGTGTATAGTGTAAGATAAGAGTCTAGATTCATTCTTCTGCATGGGGCTATATAGGTTTCACAAATCATTTGTTGAAGATACTATCCTCTCCCCGTGTGTATTCTTGGCACCCTTGCCAAAGATAAGTTGATCATATATGCATGGACTTATTTGTGAACTCTCTCTATCTTTTCCATTTGTCTATATGTCTGTCTTTATGCCAGTACCATACTGTTTTGATTACTGTAGGTTTGTATTATATTTTGAAATCAGGAAATATGACGCCTCCAGCTTTGTTGTTTTTTCTCAAGATTGGTTTGGCTATTTGTGGTCTTTTGTTGGTTCCATGTGAATTTTAGAATTTTTTTCTATTCTGTGAAAATACCATTAAATTTTGATGAAGACTGCATTAAATCTGTAGATTGTTTCCGGCAGTATGGGCATTTTAGCAATATTAATTCTTCCAATCCATGAGCACAAGATGTCTTTCCGTTTGTTTGTGTCTTCTTTAAATTCTGTCATCTATGTTGTTTGTAGTTTTCAGTATACAAGTCTTTCACCTCCTTAGTTAAGCTTACTCCTAAATATTTTATTCTTTTTGGTGCTATTGCAAGTAGGATTGTTTCCTAGTTTCCTTTTCAGATAGTTCATTGTTATTATATAGAAATGAAACTGATTTTTGTATGTTGATTTTGTATTCAGCAACTTTACTGAATTTGTTTGTTAGTTCTAACAGGTGTTTTATGGAGTCTTTGGGATAGCCCACATATAAGATCATGCCATCTGCAAACAAACAATTTCACTTCTTTCTTTCCTGTTTGGATACCTTATTTCTTATTCTTGCCTAATTGCTCTGTCTAGGACCTCCAGTACTATGTTGAATAGAAGTGGTGAGAGTGAGCATCCTTGCCTTGTACTGGATCTTAGAGGAAAGACTGTCAGTTTTTCATCAGTGAGTATGATGTTCGCTGTGGGCTTTCAAATGTGACTTTATTATGTTGAGGGACTTTCCTTCTGTTCATAGTTTTTTCAGAGTTTGTATCATGAAAGTGTGTTGAGTTTTCTCAAGTGCTTTTTCTGCATCTATTGAGGTGATCATATGATTTTTATCCTTAATACTGTTAATGAGGTGTAATTGATTTTCGTATGTCAAACCATCCTTGCATGCCAGGGATAAATCCCATTTGGTTAAAGTGTATGATCCTTTTATTGTGCTGTTGGATTTCATTTGCTGGTATTTTGTTGAGGATTTTTGAATCTATATTCGTCAACGATCTTGGCCTGTAATTTTTTTTGTGTGTGTGATGTCTTTGTCTGGCTTTGGTATCAGATAATGCTGGCTTCAAAAAATGAGTTTGAAGGATCCCCTCTCTTTAATTTTTTTGGAAGAATTTGAGAAGCATTGGCATTGATTCTTCTTTAAATGTTTGGTAGAAATCAGCAATGAAACCATCCGTTCCTGGGTTTTTCTCTGTTGGGAGGGTTTTGATTACTGCTTCAATCTCCTTAGACGTTATTGGTTGTTTAGATTTTCTGTTTCTTTCTAATTCAGTCTTGGCAGGTTGTATGTTCCTAGGAATTTGTCTGTTTTTTCTAGGTTATCCTATTTTTTGGCATGTAATTGTCCAAAGTAGTCTCTTATAGTCCTTTCTCTTTCCGTGGTATTGATTGTAATGTTTCCTCTTTCATTAATAATTTTGTCTATTTGAATTCTCACTCCTCTTTTCTTGGTTAGTCTATTTGCCTTAAATATTTAGGTGCTCCAATTTTGTATGCATATATTTACAATTGTTGTATCCTCTTGATTAATTGATCCGTTTTTCACTATATAGTGATCTTTCTGTCTCTAGTGACTGATTTTGAGTGAAAGTCTGTTTTATAGCTACTCCTTCTCTCTCTTGGTTACCATCTGCATGGAATGTCTTATTTCTTCCCTTCATTTTCAGCCTATGTGTGCTCCTAAAGCTAAAGAGAGTCTCTTTAGGCAGCATATTGTCAGCGTTTGGTTTTTTTTGTATACACTCAGCCACTCTGTGTCTTTGACTGGGGAATTTAGTCCATTTATATTAAGTAACTGTTGATAGATTAAAAACTTACTATTGCCATTTTGTTCATTGGTTTCTGAGTTTTTATAGGTCCTTTGTTCCTTTCTTCCTCTCTTGCTGTCTTCCTTTGTGATTTC